CTAATTTTCTAATTTTCTAATTTTTCTAATCTTTCTTAATTTTTCTAATCTTTCTAATTTTCTAATTTTCTAATTTTTCTAATTTTTCTAATTTTTCTAATTTTTCTAATTTTTCTAACTTTTTATAATATCTTAAGTATATAATTTAAATTAAATCTAATTTAATACTTATAATAATAAAAAGTCTTAATATTTTAAAAGCTATATATTATATATTTATCTTTATAAGTAAATACTAGGCTTAACTTATATTATATTTACTTATAAGCTAAAATATAAAAAATAAGTTTAATAAATAAAATAACTTAATAACTAGTTAATAATACTAATTCTTATATACTAATTAAACTAAATAACCTATTTAATACCTTTATTAATTATAAAATAAAGAAAAATTAAAGTACTTAAAGAAAAACCTTATTTATATTTTATAGGATTCTTTATAATCTTATTTTAAAATATATAAAGATTTAATAAGACCCTTCTTAATACTATATATTAGGTTTTTATCTATATCCTAGTCTATATCTAGCCTATACTACTTTAGCTAGCTAAGCCTATTAACTACCTTTCCTTTCTCTAGATTTTTATTTATATTAAGAGGGCTATATCTAATCTTATATATCTTTAGACTAGTTAAGCCTATTATCCTCTTAACCTCTTAGTTCCTCTCCCTTCTCTTTATTTTTATCTATATTAAGGGGGGCTATATCTAGCCCTATACACCTTTAAGCTAGTTAAGCTCTTAATAACTAGTTAGTTTATAACTCTAAAAAGTTCTTAGCTTATAAATATAATAACTATAAATAAAAATATTAAAAATATAGTTATAGAATTTATTTAAAACAAGGTCCCTGCGGCGGCGGCGGTGCCTCCTATTCAAATTTTAGGTGCCGCGATATGATGACTAAGCAGGCAGATTTAACACGGCGGGACCTGGCGCGTGATTATCCATCCTAAACACAAACACCAACAATATTGCCCAATGCACCTCCAGGAGATCAAGTTCGCGCAGGCACTTCCGCCTCATATGCGCTCATACATTCGCATACTGCATCCTGGCTATATTAGCGGCGAAGACTTTATGCTTGCGCTTCCTCGACTGGATGAAATTGGGCCCCTAGACAAGACGGATGCCTCCCCGACCGCTACCCACGGCGTGCACTTTGCGACAATGCTCGTGGCCTGCCAGGTCGTTGCGGGCAACTGCTTTGAGATAGGCTACCTAAGTTATGATGTCCAAGGCAGCCGCAAGGTAGACTTAACCAGCCACGGCATCCTGACATACGGCGAGTACTTTTTCCATGTTCCTCAAGGTAAGCACCGCGCGCTACCCTTGTCCGTTATCTTGATGTGATTGCTGACTGCTGCCAGCTAACACGGACGCAACCGAGACCGCCTCATACGCCGTCACGCCAAACTTTCAAGAGTGGCGGTTCCCAGACCGTCTCCCTCCCTCATGGCAGACCATTGCCGACACACCACACGACCCTATCAAGAGCTGCGTCGTCACCAGTAGCACTAAGACCGAAATGGCACATGTCGTCCCACGGGCGCAGGAAGTATGGTTCACTAACAACGCTATGAGGAGCCACGCCGAGGGCCTCCACTCAGCAACAGACAGTACAGCCAACGTGTGCTACCTCCGGCCCGACCTACACAAGATCTTTGACGACCGTGCCTTTGTCCTAGTCCCTAAGGCCGACACCGACGGCCGCTACCACACGGTTATACACTTCCTTTCTACGCAGAATAACTTCGCCGACGTCGCGCTACGCCACCATAATCGTAAGGTGCATAGCCTTAATGCCGTGGCGCCTCAGTTTCTATTTGCCCGGTTTGCCTACGCTATGTTTGCCTATATTAAGGACTTTATCCTCTGTGGAGCGTAGCGCCAGATTGCCGTTATCCAGCGCGATATTCAGCCGAGCGGCCGCCCGTGCTGGGTGACCAAGGTGATGGACATGGACCGCGCCGAGCGGCATAAGCGGTACGGGGGCGGCGGATCGCGCGCCTCCAGCCCGAGCAAGCGATCACGGCCGCCGTCTGACTACCAGCGTGACGCATTAGAGAGCGTCGACGATGACGACAACTATGTGTCGGACTGGTGGGGCGAAAACGATGATGGTCGCACCGCGGCGTGGGTAGAGGCGGCGGCGGCCGGGGACCGAGAAGACGAGCCGCGAGGACGGAAGCGAAAGCGGACCGAGGAGGGTCTACTTCCATCACTAACGAGCTCGTTTAGCTGCCAAGCGTCGCATAATGAACCCAGTCCCCCAGCCCCAGCTTCAGCCCCAGGTCAGCCGAGTCCTACCAGCGTCGATACGTCTAAGAAGAATAACGTCGGCTTGTCAATAGTAAGGGACGTATCATTATAACAGAGTACTATTATATAGCGCAGTCTCTCACACCTGAACTGATTCCACGGTAGCGGGATCGTTCGGGTCGAGCGGTGTGTGATGAAATCGAAATCGAATGAACGAGATCTGTCTACATTGCTATGGCATTATCACGCGATTAGACCAGCTACTCCGACATGAAAGCGGACCTAACAAGGCCTTATCGCAGAGTATATATATAGGGCGACGAACGTTATTCCTTAGTAGAAAGCTAGAGAAAGACTATATTATTTAAAGGACTAACATAATAAAATAAGAAAGCGAAAATATATTGAAACGTAGTTAAGTTCGCTTAGTTAGTAGAGAATGAAATTAACGAATAAGCAAAACATCTAGGGAAATTACACGTAAAATAGAAACTATAAGAGCGCACTTAATAGTCAAAATACTAAGGTGATGTATCCCGTCTATAAACCTGATAATGCAGCAATAGTAGACTGTATCAACTCTGAATTTCTATCTAAATTTGCCATAACTAAACTCTTAGATCAAGGTTGGGCATGTGCACTTGAACCCTCATTAGGTTTTCCTGTAGACGAATGGGGGGCTAGGGCATTTATCAAATAAAGCACTGCTTTAGGAGGCACCAACGAGGAGGCCTGGGAAGAAGTATGCTTTAACGAAGTCGATGGGAATTGTGTCGGGACTTGTTGGACAGAACTGGGCGGCATTAACTACGCATGGACTCTGCTTGCATACATGGCTCTTGGAATCCGCCCTTCAATGCTTACAAATTAGCCCATATCGAATTAGTTCTTATAATAATATGTATACTATGCTTTTTTATCCCCCTCTATATCTAAATATATACTAACTTTCTTATTTATTACCTTAGGGATTAGTTTTAAAAGTTTAGGCTATATAGTTAAAGGCGTTAGTATTAGTTTTAGCTACTTTTATAGTTTACCTTTCTTTATAAAGCTATAAATAATAGGGCTTCCTATTCTCTTAAATACTAGCTATATATCTATTATATACCTAGTCCTAGTTAGATAATAATAATATAGTAGTTAGGTAGGTATATAATTTCTTACTATCTACTATTATTAAAGTTAATTGATTTTAGTTTATAATATATATTAATTAAAGATATAGATATTACCTTCTATAGCTAGTTTACACTTTAGTAGCTTTTTAAAGATTCTAAGTGTAAACCTAGATAATAAATAATATATAAGCCTTTATTCTATAGAAGGATATATAGTATATCCGGCAGGAGGCCCCCCTTTCGTAGTTAGATAATATAGCTAGTATCTTCTTATACTCTAGTATAGAAGCTAAGGTAGCTTTAATTGAGCGACGTTTCGATAGTTACTCTAATTGTCTGCTAATCGTTAGTGGCTACAGAATAACTATGTGGAGGCTTAGACGCCTTTTACAACTTGCAACTTACGACGCTAAGGTATTGCCGTGGAGGTCCTTGGTGAGGCTTTCTTACAGATAGCAAAAATCTTTGCAGGAGAAAAATGGCATTTGTTGGCAAGCGCAAAGAGCGGCTAGGATTGATAGTGAAATATGTCGGACTGAGGAGAAACCGCGCCAGGTCTCGGGCGCGGCCTATTGTGCAATCGCCATCACCTGCGGTGGCACTCATGTGAAGCTCAGGGCAGCTCAGTCAAGGCTCGTGGGACTCAGGAAGGCTCAGCGAGCGCGTGGGTGAGCGAGGCTCCTGCCCGTCAGTCGCTGCCACCCATCTCAGAGGTCATCTATGGTGCCCGCTCTGGAGATCAACACCCCCCTCTGTCTCACAGCGGCTTGTGTAGTGTATCAAAGGGCGAGGGAGTGAGGCATCACGACCGGAGCTTGCCTCTCTGGCCCAGCTCTGGTAGTCTACCTTCAGTCCTTTCTTCGTCTCGCACGAGCACCTGCGAAGCTGCCGTCCAGCACTCTCCTCGGCCGCTGAATCCTGGTTCGTCCCCATCGAGGCAGGACGACATCCCTGTGTTTACCGACCGCCCCAGGCCTCCTCTCAGTGTCCACCCCAGCCTTCCTCCTCTGGCAGATTGCAGACATACTCCTTTCCGCAAGGCTGACAGTAACGGCCACCACCACGCTGTCTCGGATGGCCACTCTCGGCCTCCTGCGCCTACCTCGGACCTTAGCGCCCTAGTCATGGCGAACTACGTTGTCCTTCCCCATCTTAAGCCCCTCTGCTGCCCACGCGGCCCCATCGTCCCAAGCCGGGATAATATATGGAAGCTTTTCGGGCATTTCATCAGGCCAGGTGGTTGAAATAACCTTGATTACCTCTTTATAAAAGATTTCATAGGCTTCTGGTGTAAAGTGCAGCCCTTCGCAACAAAGTTAGCTAGTTTATAACCCATATGTATGTCAGGTACGACGTACCGTCGTGTATCAGGGCTCTGATAACGTCATTTTCAGGCAAGTCCTGCGAGCCGTAGAGGGGATCACCAGGTTTCCAACCAGCTTTGGACATGAAGGCAGTCCAGAGATCGACGCAGCCGACTTTCATCTCTTTGGCGACTTCGCGGGCCGCATCGGCATACTGCTTCGTGACCACGTTGGAGCGGTTCAGCTTTAAGTAGCCTTGGCTCTTCACGCGGTGGTCGAGACGTCTCTCTTCAATCGGCGGTGGGGTCACTAGTAGCAGCCGGGGCTTGTGAGCCTCGAGGGCCGGGTGAGTGACGAGTTGGACCAGGTTCTTCTTATACTGGTCTAGTGGCACATGCTGTCCGTTTGCAGCATCCGGCAAGCAGGCGTCGTTAGATCCAAACAATATAGCCTGGATTTGTGTTAGCGACGGTGTGTACTTGGACATATCAGGAAGCCGTGGACTTGCCATGAAACGAACTCTGGTCTGCTCGGGATCTGGCAAGATCTGCGGCAAAACTTTCAAACCCTGCTCCGTGTTAAAGCCGCTGACATATGATTAGCCGCAATTGCCGCCATGGATGGAAGGGAAGGCGCACCTGAATCCTCTGTTGACAACGTCGAGGCGTCTAAGGTAGGCTGTAGAAGCGTTAGAGCGTAGGTTCCCGCAACGTGTCATGCTATGGAGTCTAACCTTGCTGTAGGGCTGGGGCGAGAGCGAAGCCCCGCTCTTGTGTACTAGCCTGTTCCATGATGGACGCGCCGTAGAGGATAAATTGATCATAGAGCGAGGCTGAAATTGGGTTATGTGCGAGTTAGCGACCAGTACTTTAAAGGGGGCATTTGGCATACTGAGAGCCGGTTCGTCGTGGCGTGGAACGAGCGAGGTGAGGGCATCGAACGTAGAGGATGACCTCCTTGTCGTGCTAGTGGGAAGAGACGCGGGAACATGCTGGATGTGTCGAGATTGAGTACAAGTGGGAGAATTAAACAGAACAAGACGCCAAGAACTAGATCGAAGAGGGACGCCAAGCCAGAAGCTCTTGTCTGGTGGGGTGGAGAGTGAGTGGTGGATAGGGTTTTGCTTCCCCTTATTAGTCAGCCAAAGAATCCTGAGGGGTTCTGTTATGTAGAGTGGAATGCTGAGGGCGGCAGTTTCGAGCCAACCACGCAAATCACTTAATGAAGTGGCATTGTACCGTAAACCTGCTGTAGCTGTTCCCAGCTGACGCTCTCTCCGTAGATGAGCTTGGCTGTTTTTTTTCCAGCCCAAAGGCTTCCTCGTGGGGTTGCCATATACTGGCGGTGAGTAATTATAGCACTTTTTGAAGCCATGTAGCTAGAGAGAGGCGTTAAGTACCTCTTCTCCGTCATGTCCAGATCAGGTTGGTCGATTGGTGGTCTTTTTGTCTGTGTCTTCTCCATTTCCTCAAGCGCCTGCAGGACCAGCTTTCTTAGCTCGAGTATGGGCCGATTTTTCTCCCCAGACAGTCCTGGGAATGCGACAAATTCGGGGCAGACAGATAGCTGCTCAAGTGGTGCGGCCTGCGCATTGCTCCAATCAACGATGCCCGTCAGGTTGTAATCCTCATCGAAGAGCATGTTGCCGTAATGCAAATCGAGATGACAAAGTGGGAATGGACCTCGTACTCGATCCTCAATAATCATGTAGGGCAGCGCCGATTTCAACACCCAGCAGGCCGTTAGCCACTCTGGATCTGCGCTAGAGTGCAGTGCCATGACTTGTCGATTTTCCTCTTGCCTCTGGTAGTAAAAATATTCGAGTGACGTCTCAAGAGGCCCTGGCGCAGCATGCCAAGCCATTGAGATCACCTCGGCAGGCCCATCAGCATTATCACCGCACCAAATGCGCCCGATGCGGCTGAATGTTAGATTTTGAAGCTCTGAGAAGACACTCGCGAGCTGTTTGGCTATTTTGGCATGATACTGCAGAGGAATCGATCTCGCCAATCCATTGGAGACTTGATGGCCGGGTAGGCGCTCCATCATCGTGTACGGATAGCCGAAATCTTGCTCAGCTGACGCTGCGAAATCGAAAACACTAGGGATAGGAATGGTCGTTTTTCTTTTGATGAGTGCCATGGTAGCAACCTTACTAAGCATGGAAACTCGGTCACTAGCGTCGAATTTCTTGTATAGGACTCGCACGACCCACTAAACATAATAGTGGCTAAACCATACTAGTAGTTAGGGTAAAGGGTTAAAAAAAATAGGGTTTTTTTAAACTAAAGTTATTTACTAGTAAATAAACTTAAAGTTATTTACTAGTAGATAAGCCTAAGTTAAGCTAAAGTTATTTACTAGTAAATAAACTTAAGTTAAGCTAAAGTTATCTACTAGTAAATAAACTTAAAGTTATTTACTAGTAAATAAGCC